CACTCATTGCCGCTGCCGCTGCCGCCCGGTTTGTTCCCGCCGCCGCCGCCGCCGCCCGGTTCGTTCCCGCCGCCGCCGCTCGAGACGCTGACTCGAGTATAAGCCGAGGGGGGCATTTTTCAGCCCCAAAAATGGGCTGAAAAACTCGGCTTATACTCGAGTATATACGGTATATATAAAATTTACAGCAGTCTTGGTCATCATCCAGAAAGAAAAAGCATGAAACTAAACAGTATATAGGACACACGGGAAAAAAAGGAGAAAAAAAAGGGAATCTCCCTCTTTATACTTACAGCAATCAGTCAGCTAATTAATTCTAATATTTTAGAGTTCTGGGCTTTTTGCTGATAATTGGATTGGAAAAGATTTGTTTATTTAATTTGCCTACTGTTAACAGATGTGTTGTAAAATGAAGAGTGTTACATTTTTTAATAAGAGAAGATGAAGAGATTATGAAATTGTTTTTATTTGTCATGATGAGGGTGGGAAAGTGCATTCTTGAGGATACACACACACACATAAAAACTTTATTCCCTTTTTTCTTATTAACTTGTATTTATATTTTATTATTCTATCTAAATCTTTTAATAAAAATACTACAAAAAAAAGGAATTCAAGTCATTTATCTGGGGCACTTTGCTTCTGCTACCATATTAGTAAACTCCAATCTTTTTGGCATAATTTTCTGTTACAAAGCTGAAACCTTATTCTATACTTTCATATGATCATCTCTCATGTTCTTTGTTCTTGGCTTGTTCACTGCTTGGATGTGGTTCAGAGCTCCAGAGATAAGCAGAATAAAATCAAAATAAATTAGAGGGAAATTGAAATTATTTCATCAAGCATATATTAAAGTCCAAACATACTATACTAAAGCATACAAAGGTATTACTTACTATTCCAAAACCAAAATAATTTCTGTTGGCGTCTCATATACTTCATGCAAGTTAATAACCCATCGATTGCATTGTGCTAATTCCAGGACTGCAATCTCATGAATTATGTCCATTCGACAGTCTTGGCCTTTTCTTCTTTTCCTCATGAACTTTGCCGCAAACTCTTTTTCAGTCTCTTTGTTTATACATTTCCTTACTACTGCAAATTTCCCCCTACAATTGGAGAGAAGGAGAAGAGATAAATTGGATGCACATTTAAAGTATAATCAGTCCACCAGAGTACTCCCAATTAATGACCCCCGACTTTTGAGAAGATTTTCAGGGTTTAGAAAGTCGTCTTATATGCCGGAAAATACGGTATATAAAATATTTTATAGATGGCATTTACCACCTGCAAGATTATCAAAAACGTTTAAAAATATGTCTAGCAATTGTTGGAAATGTAGACAAAAGCCAGGCACATATTACCACCTTTGGTGGACATGTCCTAAAGCAAAAAAACTCTGGTCAAAAATACCTACGTGGTTAGACAGAATGTTAGGAAAACATGTAGACTACAAACTGGAACTATTTCTTTTGGGTATAATCTCAGAAAACTATGATAAAGAATGTGTAAATTTAATATTATATGCACTAACAGCAGCGAGAATTACATTTGCTCAGTATTGGAAAAATGAAGAAACACCACCTGAGGAAGATATAATTAAGAAAATTCTGGACTGTGCAGAAATGGATAGACTTTCATTGAAAATAAAAGGGAAACAAGATTCAGAATATTTTCAAACATGGGATAATTTTTACAAATGGCTAGAAAAACAGAGTAAAGAGTAGGAATGGAAATAGTATTATTATTGTTGTTAAATATGTGAACCCAGACAACTAAACATTAAAGATTGTAATTGTGAAAAAATCAATAAAATATATTTTTTTTAAAAAAGAGGAAGCCTGCCTCTTGGGACCTACCAAATTTTTGGTGGACAGAACCTGTAAAATGCCTTCCCTGTCAGATCTAATGGGACAGCCTTATATAATTGGGAAAAGGCGGTCCCTCAGATAACCTGACCCCATGCAACCAATGCAGCTCATTCAGCAAAGGTATGCAGTCTTCCAGGAGCACACCTAACTGCCACACTACGGCATTCTGTACTAGTTGAAATTCCCAAGAAAGTCTTCAAGGACAGCCATGTAAAGCATATTACAGTAGTTCAATCTGGAAGTGACTAGGATATGAATGATTGTGAGTAGAATATCCCAGTGTAGGAAGCGGTACACCTGGTTCATAATATGAAGCTGTGCAAAGACCCTCTTAACTATGACTGTCACATGTTCTTTGAGCATGACTTATGAGTCTAGAAGGACCCCCAAATTATGCACCGGGTGTGTCTCAGGCAGTATCACCAATCTAATATCAAAGATGTTATAATCCTTGAACTGGTAAGACCCAAAACTCAAAATCACGAACTTTGCCAGGGTTCAGTTGCAGGCTGTTTTGTCCCATGCAGACGTCACAGCCTCCAGGCACTGGGATAAAACATTCACTGCATCATTTAATTCCCCAGGAGCAGAAATGGACAGTTATTTTTTAACATACAACTAAATGGGACCGGAATTTCCATTGTAAGTCAACTCAGATGTAATTTTATGACAATTTTTACAGTAGCCATTAAAGGATTACCTATATAATTGGGTATCATCTATGTACTGATGATACCTGATCCTTGGGTCGGATGAACCACCTAGCAGTCTCATGTAAACATTGAGAAGAATGGCTTCATGTAATGGGAGATAGGAGAGCACTGAACTCCACAGCACATCACACAATAGGGATCCAAGGCAGACCTTTCCAATCATTAACATCTGGAATTGACCCACCACCCCCAATTTCCTGAGCTAATTTAGAAAGATATCATGATTGATGGTATTGAAAGCTGCTAAGAGATCAAGTACAGCAAAAATAGATCCACAACTTCTATTCCACCTCCATTTTGAATAACAGATCATTAAAAAATATGACCAATGCTGTTTCTGTTCCATATGTGGGCTTGAATCCCAACTGAAAAAAATCCAACAAAAGAGATACCGTACACCTTTATCAAAAAGTGTCTGACCACTTCCGGTTTGCCATCGCGGCCGCCGATGGAAGGCAAGCTCCGTCTTCCGTGTTCGGTTTTGCTCCACTGGGGGACCCTGGAAAGGGTCGAGAGTTGCCCTGTAGGGGTGACAAGCAAGGAGGGGACCCCTGCTTGATCTCAAGAGGGCAGTAGCCCTTCCGCTTGATCTGGGGCAGCCCTCCAAACTGGCGGACGAAAGACCGGCCATAGAAATATGGCTTGTCACTAGGCTGCAGACAACCGAAGTCAAACTTACCACCTGTTGTGGCTCCGTCCTGTGGGCCCCTATCATCGGAGGAGGAAGGCTCTGAACATGAAGTAGAGGAGATGGCCAGGCCTCCCTCTCCAGGACCCTCCCCTCTGGTGCAGCCTTCGGTGTCTTCCGACGGAGAGGAGATTGGCCAGGAGCCAGGTGTTTCTGGGATCGGCCAGGAGCCAGGTGCTTCTGGGATTGGCCAGGAGCCAGGTGTGTCGGACTCTGAGGAAGGTACGTCTTGGGTGGATCCACGCCAGCGTCAGAGGGACAAACGTGCGCAGCAGCTAAAACGTCGTGCCAGAGATTTCAGCTGAGTCACTGGGCCACACCCCACAGGCTATATAAGCAAGGGGTGTGCCGTTTGAAACTCTTGTGATGAACAATACTGAATCTTCTGTTGTAGCACTTCGGAATTATCCTGGACTTTGATTTGTATTTGTACTGTGAGTTATCAGTAAAGG